GATGAATGCAGACACATGCGTTCGTGGATTGGAAGACTCATTACTGCTAAGATGTTACGTCTCCTCAAATTGATCTATACGTTCAAATAAATTATAATCAGAAGCCTAGAAACAGATAAACTGATCATAAAATTTACATGAAAACACAAAGGACTTAGAATAGACAAAAAAAATTTGAAAAGGAAAAATGTGACTGAAGGATTCCCATGACCCTTTCAAGATAGACTGAGATAAACTGTTATATTATTTTGTAACAGTAATCATGGTAGTGTGGTATTGGACAAAGATCAGACATATAAATCAATGGGACAGAAGACTCCTGAAATAGACCCCCTCAAAACTGTTCAACTAATTTTTTTTAAGAACACTCAAGGCAAGTCAATGCACAAGGGATGGGCTTTTCTACACACAGGACTGGAACAATTGGGCATCGTATGCTGAAAAGAGCCAGCTCATAACTCAAGCTCTTTCTTTGGGAGGTGATCACAAAGTTAACACAATATGGATCTTAAAACTAAATGATGTAGAATCTAAAACTAAAAACTTTTAGAAGAAAAATGCGGGGAGAATCTTTGTGATTTGGGGTTGAACAAGCAGTTCTTATATTCAACACCATAAGCATAATCCATAAAAATAAAATATTTACAAATTATATTTTATGCATTTTAAAAAACTTGCTCTGTGAAAAAAATTTTAGGATAATATAAACATCAGCCACAGACTACGAAAAAAGGCTTGCAAATCATATATCTGACAAAAGATTTGTATACAGAAAGAAATGTAAAGAACTCTCCAAGTCCTATGATAGGAGAGCAAACAACGAAGAAAATTCACTGGGCAAAGGTTTGAACAGACATTTCACCGAAGAAGATATATAGATGGCAAATAGACACATGAATAAACGTTCAACATCATTAATCATTTGAGACACAACTACAATAATATACGCTGGTATAACATTGCACACTCATAAAAATGGCGCCTGAGTTGTAGTTGTGGAGCATTACTCATTGGGATTTGAAATGACACAGACACTTTGATAACAGTTTGGTCATTGGTTCTAATGTTAAATGTATGTCTATACTATGCCCCAGCTCTCCCACTCCAAGAGCAATGAACCCTTATGTGCACATATTCAGAGCCTTTTTTTTTTTTTCACAAGAGCCCCAAACTGAAAACAGCCCCCATGCCTTCCAACTGGCAAAAAAATAGTGGCTCATTATTGTGCTAGAATATTACTTAGCAATAAAGAGAAACTAAGTATTGAGACACACGTACACACACAAATCTCCAAGTGAAAGAAAGTAGATCTTAGGATGAAGAACAGACAAATGGTTGCCAGGGGTTGGGGGTGACCATGGTAGTGGTTGTCGCACGACTCTTAGCAGTTCTTAAAACTTAGAACTGTGAGCCCTGGCTGGTGTGGCTCAGTGGATTGCATGCCGGCCTGGCAGCCAAAGACTCGTGTGTTCGAATCCCAGTCAGGGCACATGCCTGGGTTGTGGGCCAGGTCCCCAGGTGGGGGTGTGCAAGAGGCAAACTGATTCATGTATTTCTCTCACATCGATGTTTCTCTCCCTCTCTTTCTCCCTTCTCCTCTCTCTAAAAATACATAAATAAAGTATTTTTAAAAACTCAGAACTGTACACCTTATAGAGCAAATTTTACTTTCTGTAAATTTTTAAAAATATACGATTTTAAGACAAGGCAGAGGGTAACTGCACACATAACTCGCATACACATACAAAACAATATGTGAAAAGGACAGGTCTTTGCCTAAAGAAGAAGAAACTGGGCAAACAGAGGGCATCTGGAGTATCAATCATTCCCAGAGCGCAGTTTATTTTTTCCATGAGTGAATGTCAAAATATTACACTTTAAATGTAGGAATCACCTGACAGTCTTAGATAGTGAGCGTGGAGCTCTTCCTCAGGTGATCTAATGCACTTCAAGCAGGGACACATTTTGAAAATCATGTCCTTTCAAGGTTGAGATATATCTCTGAAACCAAGCTGACCACATTCACTTCTCTCTACCACTCACCATTTGAGCAACCTGAGTAAGCGAGGTAACCCCTCGGGTCCACACAACCAGTGGGAGGATAAACTCAGTGTTCAGGCCCTGACCAGGGAGGCTCGGTTGACTGGGCCTCATCCCACAAAGCAAAAGGTTGCCGCTTCGATTTCCAGTCAGGGCACATGCCTGGGTCGCAGGTTCAGTACCCGGGCGGCATTTTCAGGAGTCTCCAGGCCATCCATTTAGGTTCTATGAAAGGTTTGTAATCACGTCCATACCTTACACGACTGTATGTGTATCTACACATACAGTCGTGTAAGGTAACACATAAGTAACGAAGTAACACATAAAAGTGTTACTTCATTAAAAGTAACACAATGTGCATGAAAAGGACTCCGGCAAAGTGAGACAAAATTTTCAATTATTTTCTAATGTAATGCCATCTTTTGAAAAACAATGAAAAGTGGCTTGAATGTTTAACACTTAAGAATTGATTTTATATCATGTAAAGATGATTTAATGTTACAGAAAGATATCCACAAGATATTGCTATATGAAGAGCCCAGGTTAACAAAGATGTACGATACAATAGCTCTTTTTTGTTTGAGGCGAAAAATCACATAACATAAAATTGACCCTTTTACCCACGGTAAAGTGTACAATTTTGAGCATTTATTACATCACAGTGCTGTGCAACTACCACCGCTATCTACTTCTAAGACATTTTCATCACCGGAAAAGGAAACCCCGCCCCTATTCGCTCTCAGTTCCGGTGACCCTGCCTGGCCCCTGACAACCAAGAGTCTGCTCTGTCTCTCTGGATTCGCCTGTTCTGAACACTTCATGTAAATGGAATGACACAATACGAAACCTTCTGTGACTGACCACTTTCACTTAATGTTTTCAAAGTTCATCCGCGGCGTCGCGTGTGCCAGCGCGTCCTTGCTTTGGTGACCCTGTCGTGCTCCTTGGTAAGGACCGATCACATTCTGTTTATCCGTTCATCTCTTCACGGATATTGGATTGTTTCACTAAAGCCAGTTTTTGGCAAATGTGAATGGCGTCACTAGGAACATTCGTGTACAAGTTTTTGTCTCAACGCCCGTTTTCAATTCTTTTGGGTATGAATCTGGGAGTGGAATTGGTGGGTCATATGGTAGTTTGGGGCCTAATTCTTTGAGGAACCATCAAACTCTTCCCACAGCGGCTGAATACATTCCCGCTGGCAATGTATGAGGGTTTTAGTTACTCCGCATCCTCACCAACACTTGTTATTTTCCTTTTTTTAGATTCTTGCCATCGTAGTGGGTGTGAAGTGGTATCTCATTTTGGTTTTGATTTGCATTTCCTTATGACAAATGACGTTGAGCCTCTTTTATGTGTTTGTAAGCCAGTGAAGCAGAATTTTTAAACAGAAGATTACATGCAAATGGAATACATTAAGATGTAAGTTAAAATTTTTAAGTGAAAGGATTACATGTGTGTATGTAATAGGTATATGTCAGGGAATGCTGATTGTTTTGCTATGTTTGGATTATTGCTATGGATCTTTTTCCATTGCTATGGAACTTTTATCTCTTTTCCTATTTGCACATTCTTCTAAGAAGGTGTGTCATTATGGGAACAAGAAAAATATTTTAAATAAAGCAAGGGAAAATGATTTTTCGGCTTTGATTACATGAAATACTTGCTCATTCTGTGTTGCAGGCTTTTCTTTATTGTGCAGCGCGCGAGTCTGCCAGCGCCCACCCGCGGGCGCCGACGCGCTCCGACACTTGGGCCCCTGGACCCCCGTCCCTGCCCCGCCCCGCCCCGCCCCGCCCGGGAGCCGGAACCGGGGAAGCCGCTGTCCGCGGTGCTGCTGGGAGCGTGGCCCCGCCCGCTCCGGCTCCTCTCACCCGCTGCGGACCCAGGAGACCTCCACTTCCTCGAGCGTCTAGGAGCCCACTGTGCCCAACCCCTGGCCCACGGGGCCCTCGCAGCCCAACACGAAATCGTAAATTTACTTAAAACATTATGAGATTTTTTGGGTTTTCCTTAGTGTTTCTGTATTTAATGTGTGGCCCAAGACAACTCTTCTTCCAGTGTGGCCCAGGGACGCCCAAAGGCTGGACATCCGATAGGCTCAAGTCCAGTCCAGGCCATGCATCTCTAGGGGAAAAAGGTGTGTTTTTCCAGTTCTTAGCTTCAGGCCAGCTTCGCACCAAACACCCTTGTAATTTCTCAGATGTAACCATCGATATTTTAATTTACTGAATCTTCTAATGACAGGGTTTTGTTTCTTGGGGTTTGCTTTTTTTTTTGGCACTTGTTCTTTTTTTTCTTAACATTTTACTTTTTGATCGTTTTCTTTAACAGCAGGTTGCCACATCGCCTGAATTTAATATTAACTTGTATGATTCTTTAAAAATTCAAAATTTGGAATGTGAGGCCCAGACAGGAAAAGGGAGGACGTTCGTCCCCACTAAGGACTGAAGCTCACCCAGCGATGGCTGTCGTGTTGCATGTTCTTACTTATTCAGTCTCCACAACAGGGCATAGAAGGGCTACTAGTGAAGAGTAAAGGAACCGAGGCTTAGAGAGAGAAGTGATGTTCCCCAAGCCAAACAGCCAGGAAACAGCAGGCTGGGGCTGTGCTCTTGGCAGCACGGCTCGGTGTGGGCGACCCAGGGTCCTCTGGCCCTGGCTGCTTCTAGGCGCCCGCTCCACCTTCCTCAAAGAGCAGCCTTGTCCTGGTGACCCAAGGTGGGTCCTGGGGCTTGTTATCTTTAAGGACACATTGTAGCTTAGTAACCACAGAAACACTGTGAAGGATTCTGAGGTGAGAAAAGACTGCGTTTATTAGGAGAGGTCAGCGTGGCCGGAGCCCAGTGTCGCTATGGTTTCTCCTGTGTGACTCACAGCCTCAAATGTGCCCTTTAAGCCCGTCCTTAACCCTGGGCCCTCCTGCTCAAACAGCTGCCATGGTTCCCCATTACCGGCACTACAGAGTCCTTGCTTGGGCCCGAGGAGAGCCCGCAATCAGCGTGGGGACCTGGGCTGGGCTGGGCTGGGCTGGGCTGGGCTGGAGAGGCAGTCAGGGTCGCGGGCTCAGAGACGGGGCAGCGGTGACAGCACAGTGTTTTTCCTGGGACCCTGCACGGGGAGGTGTGCGGGCTGGAGCCAGGCCAGGCGCTGGAGGGTCACTGAGGGCCCGCGCCCAGCGGCTGCACCCGCAGCCACAGCCCGCCCTCTGCTCGCAGGATGAGCTCGGGCTTCCTGCGCGGCTCCGCCTGGTCCGGCAGGACGCGGAAGCGCAGCAGCGTGAGCGCCAGCACCGCCTTCATCTCGGCCATGGCGAACGCCTGCCCGATGCAGTTCCTGCGGGCGGGCGGGCGGGAGTGGGAGCTCAGACCTCGCCCGGGACCCGACCCTGGACCCCCATCCCCGCCCGCAGCGGTGGAGAAGGGGCCTAACCGAGCCGGGGACCCCCGAGCGGCCTGGGACAGGCCCTGGCTCCAGCCCCGACCTCAGACCAGCGCACAGCGGAAAGGGGCTGTGGCGCATCGGGGTCCCCTCCTTGGACCCACCCAACCCCCTTTCCCCAGACCCTTACCCGTAACCTACCCTCCGGAGGGAAGGGTAGGAGAGCCAGAACTAACAGTCTCCTATCTTCCCCCTTCCCCGCCCCCACTGCCGGGCCTGGGATCTCAGTCCCAGGTCCCCGGCCCCATCACCCACCTCCTGCTGCCCTCACCTGGGCCCGGCCGAGAAGGGAATGAAAGCCAGAGGTGACCTCTTCGGGGCGGTTTCCGGGTCGAAGCGGAAGGGGTTATAGACCTGGGGGGAGGCCGAGACGGGGCCGCTGGGTGGGGTCTCCCAGGACAGCCTGTCTTGGGGAGGCAGGTGTGTGTGATGGGGGGCAGGGGTGTTTGGTTTGCCAGGTCAGGACCCTGCTCCCTCCCCTCGGTCTCCCAAGGCGAGGGGACAAGGATGAGGGGAAGCGGGAGGCAGCACCTCAGGGTCCGGCCACACGGATGGGTTGTGATGGGTCCCAAAAATACTGATAGCGCAGATAACACCTGTGGGAGAGGAGGGGCCAGTCAGGGCAAGAGGACCCTCCTGCCAGACGGGCCCCTCCTTCTGCCGCGGTGGCCCCTCCCCCTGCCACCGCCAGCACCTTTGGGGATGACCCTGCCGTCAGGGAGCGTAATGTCCCGGGTACAGCGGCGGGCGATCATCGTGACTGGGGGGTGCAAGCGCAGACTCTCCTTGATGCACATGGTCAGGAAGGGCAGCTGGGCCAGGTCGTCCCTAAGGAACACCCCCAACAGTTGTTCCCGGAGCAAAACCAGAGACACTCCCCACAGCCACCCCCATGGTCCTCCTGCCCCGGGAGATCCTCTTCCCACCTCATTCTGACCCTCGTGCCTGTAACAAAATACATTCCAGATGAACCGAAGCTTTAAGCATTAGAAGGTCAAAAATCACAAAAGTTGCTAGAAGAAAATGTAGGTTGCTATTTTTAAAACCATTTCTGAGCAAAACACAGCAGTCAGAGGGTAATCTTAAAATTATTGCATAAAAAGCTTTTAAAATTATATAATCACCAAAATAAACATCTTTATGACAGCTTTAGAAGGTTATTTGAGTAAATAAGATCCACTCCATACTCTAAGTTGGGATGACCCGATGTAAAAGTGCCAATTCTGTCTAAATTAATCAATATATTTAATGCAATCCAATAAAATCTACGCGCTCACGTGCACACATGCATGTGTGTTTGGCACTTGATTATGATATTTATTTTGAAAGAATTAAAGTTCATTAAGAGCTAGGTCAATTTAAAAATAAAAGATCAAAGAAAGGGAACTCAATCTACCGAATGCTAGAACCCATAACAAAAGAGCAGTGAATTAAAAAAGCACCCACCGGTGTGATATTGTTGCCGGAACAGGAAAACAGACCCATGGAAAAGAATAGGGAGCTTGGAGACCACATGCAAATAGGTGACATGTAAGCATCTGGTAAAGGAGGCCCCACGGACCCTGGGCAATGGATAGATGGTTTGGTAGAAGGTGCTCAGATACCTGATGATGTGGAAAGGAAAAGAACTAGATCTTCATCTACTACCTGCACAAGGTGATGGATGTGTTAACTCTCCTTATTGTACTCATTGTGCAATAATAATGTTTATCAAATCATCACATGGTACACCTTAAACCTACACAGTGTTATATGTCCATTATAGCTCAGTAAAACTGGTAGGAAAGGAAAAGAGGAAGGCTTATAGTCATTGTGAACCGCTTTGTATTGTACCATTTGAATTTTTACCAAGTGCATAATTTTTTGAAGTTGGGAGAAAAACATTTCTCCACCTCACGGGGCTGCCATGCTAAGCCTAGGGGAAAAGGGCACTTCCTGCAAAGTGTTTGTCCAGTCTAACATCTCCTTTCCATCCTGCAGAACTTGCCCCAAGCTGGGCCCTGAGCCCTCAGGCCCCAGCTCACCCCCTCCAGTTTACCCCTGGAGTCACAGAGAGATATTTCTAATGCCCACATCTGACCTGTCTCTCCCTTGCTCATACACCTCCCATGGCTCCCCATTGCCCTTATGTTAGTCATGACTTTCCCTTCAAGAAAGAGTCTGCTGTGCAGCTGCAAGGAGAACAACGGCTGACATCCTCCAGGGATAGGGTGTGTGGGCACTGCTGCAGCATCCACACCAAGGCCACGCTCACCTGGGCAGCCCCCTGCCGGTGACTGAGCACGTGGCCACGACTGCCTGACGACTTCTGCCCAACGTGAGACCCTCATGGCAGCACCTGCCTGCTTTTATCTTTTATCCTACGTCAACTTCCCAGAATTGAAGTGACACCCTTGCAAACTCCTAACACGGTTTCCCAAGTACTCCCAGGGGGGCTTCCATGACCAGCGCAGCGTCCGTGGGAGCCCTCTGGTTCCTCACACTGTGAATGCCACAAGGACCCAGCCAACTTCACTCCCTCCCAAATAGGCCAGGCTCACTCCTGCACGCTTCTGGCCTTCGCACAAGCTATCGCTTGGTCAGGAGCGCTGTCCACTCAATGTGGCGAATCCTGTTTGCTGTTTCACTACCCGTTCTCACCTCCTCTCCTCTCGGCCCCAGCCTTGCCCAAGTGCCTCACAGATGGGACTGGACGCTGAGTTGGGAAAGAGCAGGCAGCGTGGCCATGTTCGCTGAATGAAAAGACAGATGGTTTTTTACCCCCCAAAGGCTTCTTGGGAATCCCTGGAATAGACTATTAGGTGGGAATTAGATAAAAGAGAAAAATTAAGGGGAGCAGGGGTCTTTGGGGAAAGATTGCAATGTCAGACAGAAATGTAAGAGAGGGAGGAGAAGCTGAACACAGGCCGGGTGACCTCTGTTCTTCCAAGCAGCCCTGTGGGCGTGAGACTGACACCCACACGAGATTTGCAGAGGAGAGGAGCAGCATTCAGGAAAGGAACCTGATTTTAGTACAGTCACATAGCAAGTTAGTGGGGTGATAAATGGAGACACTCAGATCTTCCTGTCCCCAAAGCTGGCAAATGTCCCCCTGCTATCCAGGCTGGATGCCAGGCCCTGCCTCTGCGCTCTGCTTCCATCCCCTCTAAAGGGGATGATGGGATGACTGAATGCCACGCTCCCCAACAACAAAGCTCCTCCCTCCTCCCCGCTGGGGAGCAGAGCCAGTGCCGGGGGCGGGGCTCAGGAAGAGCCAGGAGAACCTGCACTCACCACTCGATCTCTTGAGGCTCCCGGTCCCCCAGGAGCTGTTGCACCTCCTGCCGGCAGCGCTCCTGGTATTCCGGGTGCCTTGCCAGGTTGTACAGGACCCAGGAGAGGCCGCTGGCTGTGGTGTCATGGCCTGAGGGGCAGTCGGACACCTTATGTTAAGGGGCAGCCAGAGACCCTTCTGTGAAGGCCCTCGGGGAGGGCAGGGCGGGTCGGGCGGGATGGGGTGCTGCCACCAGCCAAGTCCCTGGATGGAGAGACCCACCCCCTCTGTGGTCCCTCACCGGGACCCTTACCCTCAAACATGAAGGTATCAGCCTCGGCTCGGATGTCCTCGTCTGATAACCTCTTCCCATCTTCACCCTGGAGAAAGGGCAAGATACCTCATATCACGCTGGCCCTGAGGGTGTCTGTGTCTAACCTGAAACAGTCCCTGGAGCTTCATTATCCAAGCAGGACCCTTCCCTCCTCAGGTCCAGAGCTCACCCGACACACTTCCTCCCTGGTCTCCCGCCTTCTGTGTCCTCCCTCCAGACAGCTTTCTGCATAGCCATGTCTGCAGCTTATCTCACCCCCACTCCTCCCTTCCTCAAGCATCCTCCATGGCTCTGCAGTGCCCTCTGCTTCAAGGCCAAGTTCTTTGATCTGACATTTGAAACCAATGCCCATTCTACCTCTTGAATTCAGATCCTGGAGAAGCCCACCTTGGCCAGCAGGAGAACATCAATGAAATCCAAAGTCTTGGCCTTAGCCTTGGCTTGGAGGGAGTCATGGGAACCCTGACTGATGAGGGCGCGACGTCGTTCCCTGATGACAGCGTCTGTGAAGTTGTGCACCAGCTTGCAAGCCCTGCGGAAGCGCCACCCATTGGGGGTGAGGTGGTACAGGAAGTCCATGCGCAAGAATAGATGCTGGGCCCGCTTTACCACGAGAGCACTGAGCTCCAAAATGGAAGCAATATATTCGCTGGGATTCCTGCAGGAAAGGCCAGAAAAGGCAGGTCCTTAACACACATGAAATCCTGGGAGAACTCCCATCCCTGCCAGAGCCCAAGACCATGCTCAATCCACAAGAGCTCTCCAAACATGCTTCCACCTCTCTGAGCTGCTTCACGTCCTAGATCCCAGGACAAAGCTTAGGCATCGTGCTCACCTCCTGTCTCCCCTGTGCAATCACTGGACTTGCCCATTCTTCCTTGGTTTCTCTCAAATATGCCCCATTTTCTCCACTAAGCTCAGTCTTCCTCTTCACAGTCTCCTTGCATCCTGTGTCTACACAACAGTTGATCATCTCTAGGCTATAGACTCAAAGCTCGGCTTTGGCCACAACCCTCATCTGCTCAGACACTTTCCATGGCTCCCTGGAAAACTCAGGATAAAGTTCATACCTCTTTGCCTGGCTTTGGAATGTCATTAAGGTCTAGCCCCTGCCAAGTCCTCCCACCTCGTCCAAAGTGTCTCCTCACTGATACACATACTCTGCTCATTCTAGCCTCCTGTCCTTTAGCATACATTTCTACCTACCTGAGAGGATCATGCTTTCTCTTTCCTTGTCTTTGTCTCTCAACATCCAGCTCTGACCCAACTCCTCCAGGAAGGCCCTGGTGATTATCCTGGTCAGTCCTCCCTCCATCTACTCCCTTGGGTCTATGGTTCATGTTCCCAGGCTCTGGACAGAGACTCACTCCTGGCAATTGCTGTCAAAACTGAAGACACATTTCTGGAGACTGTCCAGGGTCATGAGGCTGATGTGTTCAAACATGTCCAGGCGGGTGTGGCCCTCCGAGGCCAGGCACTGCCACTTGGCCTGGACAGAGAAGGGGACAGAGCTGTGCCTTCCCTGAGCCCTTCTGCCAGCCCAGCTACCTGGGTGGGCTCTCTTTGTCCTCTGCCCCAGGCGCCCATCCCCAGGGAGGACCAGGCATGAGTGGGAGTGGAATCTGTTACTCTTAAGACATGAAGACCCCAATGCTGAGAGTCAGAAGACTTGGGTTCAAAGTCATTGCCCTCCTCTGGGCTCCGCCTGCCAAGTTTTCAGTAAAGTTAAGATGACCTATTTTGGTGTCAGACAAACCAGGTTAAAATTCCTGATCCACCATTCATAAGTCACTCCCTAGCTATGTGAACTCAGGCAAGCTCCCTAAGCTCTCTGACCTTCTGTTCCATCCTCTGAAAAGTGGCAATAATAGTCATCTCTACCTCGTAGAGTTGTTAAAATTAAATTATACAACATATGCCATAAAATGGGCACATCATTTTTTAGTATACAGTAAGTGCTATGTAAGTAACTGTTAGCTATCATCATCATCTTCATCACCATCATAGTGGTAGGTGACTGCAAAATGTTTCCTTTTTTTTTTTGCCCCTCCTTATGTCCTCATCCTTTGCAATGAGACACTACAGTTCTTCCATCAAGAGGTAGAACCTCTTCATCTACCTCTTGAATCTGAGCTGGATGTGGGACATGCTTCAGCCAATAGAAGATGGAAATGATGGTGTGATCATTCTGAAACTGGGCTTCAAGAGGTACTGCATGTTTCTGCTCATTCGCTTGGAATGTACTCTCCACCATGCAAGAGAGCCCAGGCTAGCCTACTAGAAAATAAAAGGCAAATGCAGGAGTCCAGTTGTATGACCAACACCATCCTAGACCAGCCAACAGCTTGTCAAGCCTCAGACATGAGACAAGGCTGAGCCTGGATCAGCATCAGCAGAGCTGTCTTCTGAACCCCATCAGGACCCCAGACATTGTGTGATTCCAGCCAAGACAAGAACTACTCAACTGACCCATCATCTTGTGAGCAATAACAAATACTTAATTGGGTTTTAAGGTGGTATGTTATGCAGAAAAGGTTACTATTCAATATTTATGGCTATGATCTTGAATTTAGAGGGCTTCAGGAAGCAGACTAGAAACTAAAGCCTTCTGAACACTAGTGCCAAGAACAGGATTCCATTACACCATCATGACCACCCTTTAATAAAGGATTATTATCTCCATCCAACAGAGCCAGGACTCCAGAGCTTGTGTCTGAGGCCACCCCCGCTTTCCCAAGGCTCCAGCTGGGACTCTGGGTTTAAAGAACTCACGTGCATGATGTCTGCACTCTTGCTGAAAATTTTCATGTAGGGCTTCAAGATATCAAAGTGGAAGGCAGGTGTCAGCAGACAGCGGTGGTGGCTCCACTTGTCACCATCACTTAGCAGAAGCCCATCCCCTAGTAGAGATGGCCACAGGGAGTGGGCAAGGGCAGTGCCTTCCCCTGGCCCCCCAAGGGTGGTGTCCCAAACCCCATCACCCTCAGTTACTCACCCAGCCAAGGCTTCATGATGTAATAGACAAACGTGTCCTTGGGCATGGTGGTAGCTGACATGAATGAGAACCATCAGGGACCATGCAGAGGGGGAGAAGTGGGACTTTTGGAGGAGGGAGAAGGAGCCCAGCCAGGGGTCTGCATTCCCCCTCCAAGCCCAGCATAGCAGAAATAGGACAAGGGCAGAGGAAACAGGGAGGAAGTGGGAGGCCAAGGGGGACCAAACCAGGCCACAACACAGAGCAGAGACAGAGCCCAAAGACACACCCTTACATGTTTAGATGCACCCCAACATGGCATGATATGCCCAGCACACCTTGACATGGCTCTTACATGATCCAACATGTTCTACACCGCAGAGCACAACCCAGCACACTACAAAATGCCTTTACAGGGACCTTAGACATCTGTCTGCCCCAACACTCTCTGACACCTCCTGGGACATCGGACATGCCCCAAGATGTGTTAACATGTCCTGATATGGCTCCAACATGCATACCGTTCCCTGTCATAACATAGCATGCTCTGACATGGCCCCAAAGACAATCTGGCATGACCTCAGTGTGTCCCACAAACAGGACTTAAATACAGTTCCATTAATGCCCCAGACATGGCTGAGGCATGACCCAGACTTCCTCAGTATTCTCACTCTGCATTAAGCACTTAACTCAGGGGCTCCTCTGTCCTTAAAGAGACCAGGGGATCCCTCCCAGATACTGAGCTCCACTCATCGTGACGAGCTGCCACTGTTCCTGCCCCCGAAGGCCAACCAGACACAGTTAACCAACCTGGGGTCTGGTGGACCTTCCCTGACAATAGTCTGGCCATCCGCCTTCTCGTCCCAAATCCCCTTCTAGCTTAGGGTCCCTCCCATCAGGGGCAGCTAGGGAGGGCAGTTGAGAACAGCCAGAACTAAGATGGAAGCCTCTGCATGTCCTGTGGCCTTGAGGAGTCACTATGACTCTCTGAGCCTGTTTTCTCACCCAGGAAATGCCCACCTAGCAAGGATGCCTGTGGAGGGACATCTGGGATCGGCCTGTCCAGCGCCCATGCCCTCCTACTGGAACCAGCACCCCATCCCTCCACCGCTCTCAACCCAAGCAGTTAGGAGGGTGGCCATTCCAGCCCATCCTCCCTTCCAGAGCTAGGCTTAGCGCCCTGAGCCTGGGCAATCAAGTCACAATGACCACATGAGGAACTGGTCCCTATAATCCAGGCCAGGCCAATTTAAGGAATCCTGCCATTTTTCGTGGGCCTGTGCAGAATGAGCTCCCTTTTCCAGAGCAGGTGAGTTCTGGGACAAATTTTCACCACAGCGAGAGTCAAAGCTGGTGCAGAACAGAGAAGTCTGAGATGAAGACCCGTTTCCGATAGCTTTCTTTAAGACCTGGACCCAGCCGTGCCCACGGACAGTCCTCCTTGAGCATCCCAGGTAACAGATCCCCTCTCTTTACTTAGGCCAACAGTGTTGAGGTCCCACCACTCAAAATTGGAACTTTGGCAACTGGAGAGGGTCAGGGACCTTCCCAGGTCCTAGGGTCACCCAGCAGAGGTAAGAGTCCCAGCTCTGGTCTCTACCAATGTTGCCCCATCCCCCTGCTCAGACCGGTCTGCCTAGGGGTGAGAACGGCTGGGAGCTGAAGCACAGGAAGCGGGTGGGGGTTCCTGGGAGAGATACCTGGAGCCTGGAGCAGGGGGGCAATGAACTTAGGGTGGACGAACTGCAGGACGGGGTGGAAGGGCCCAAGCCACCGGAGATGGATGTCACGGAAGCAGTGGCTCAGTTTCTCTACAAGCTGCATGCCCTCCTCATTGTCCTTCACCTGGGAATGAGTGGAGATGAGGCAAAGCATGGCAGGGGCTACAACTCCCCACTGTACCCCCTACTCACTGCACCCTGCTCACCCCCCTAACTCCTGCCTGGATTATTGGTCTCCACCTGCTTCCACCTCACTATGTCTGCTTCTCTGTGTTGGTCTCTGTTTGTCTTTTCTTGAGCCTATCTACCTATATGTCTCTCCCTGTTCCTTCACTCTTTTTATCTCTGTGTGTGTGGGGCGGGGGTGGGGGGGGAGAGAGAGAGAATGGTTGCATGGAAAGGAATAGATTACTCAAAAGCCTAGAGGTGAAAGAGCTACCACCTGGCTGTGAGCAGCAGGAAGGAGTTCAGCACATCTGGGGTGAAATAAGTGAGTGACAGAGAAAGGCGGAGAGGGGAGGACATCAAGCCCAGAACCGAGGGTGGGTAGAGCAGGAGGTTGATTGTGAGGGTGATGGGATCTCCATGGATGGTATGGAGATGAGGAGAGGCAGACAGGGAGTTGAGAGATGGACAGAGAAATAGGGGCTGATAAAGAGAGAAACAGAGAAAGAGCGAGGGAGAGACAGAGAAGAACACATAGAGACAGATAAACAGGAGTAAAAGAAATAAGCACATACACAGTGTGCATACATCTATCTCCTGCTTGTACATATGTATCCATCTATCACCTATTTATGTATCATCTCTCTATATCTATCTATCAATCTATAAGTCATCTATATATATCATCTAGCTATATCTATTAATCTACCAGTCTATTCATCCATCATCTATCAACTATCCATTCATAATCTGTTTATCTATTCATCCATCATTTATCCATCCATAGTCTAGTCATCGATATATCTATCCATCCCTCTGTCCATCCATCCATCATCTTTGTTTATAGTATCTGTCTATATACCATCCGTCCATCCATCATCTCTCATAGGACATCCAGTCTATCTGTCTCTCCTGAAGCTATGGACAGGTCTCTTAATCGCACCACTTACAAATGAGAAACTGAAGCCAAGTCCCCCAAAAGGGGAAGGAGGATAGATCACCTCCTGGCAAGGCGTTCTCTCCCGTCCCTCAGGATGCCCCATCAGAGACTGACAAGTCCGCCAGGGGCTCCAGGCAAGTGGGCTTAAGTTGTTTGTACCTTATGACCTGCTCCCTGCTCTCCAAGGACCCTGAGGCACTTGATGAGACCATTCCAGAGAGGAAGAGTGACTCAGCTAAAGTCACCCAGCAAGTGGGACTGGAGGAGGAAAGAGCGCCCAAGACTGTGCTCCATGTGCAAGTCCTCCAAGGAGGATTTGCAACTGCAGTAACTTTCCAACACTTTCTGCCTCTAGGGCTTGCTGAGAACATTCCAAAATGGCCCTGTGCCTCTAGAATCACCCCAGCTGCACAGGGCGGTTGAAAAAGTCTAGGGCAAGGACTTGGGCTGGAACCAAGACAACAAGGTGGTTCCAAGAGGGCAGAGCAGTCAACAAGGTCAGAGTCGCTTGGAGGTGGACAAGATGGGACTAAGGGACCTGGAGTTCACATTCCCCTCACAGGAGCATGACGGGGTGGGTCAGATAAGCGCAGGTGAGGATCAAGTGGGGAAATGGAGGCAACAAGGGAGGGCAAGTCTTTGTCCTTGAGGAGAGAGCTGAGCACGCAGACAGGCGGCCGTGTGCAATCATGCAGCACTGGAGGCGGGCGGGTTGGGGGTTAGTCGCCACCCTTTTGTCTCTCTTCATGAGCTTCTCTGGCATTATCATGGAGAACTGATCAGAGGACATGGTGACAGCTCAAACAGGCAAAAGTTTTCCAAAGGGCCTTGAAGGAAAGCTCAAGTGGCATCAGACTTCAGCCCACGTGCAAAGGGTGGAATCCAAGCTAAACGTATCCAGGGAAGCGGGGTCAGACGGGGAAGGGACTGGATACCCTGGCCGGGTCTAAGATGGGAGAAGAAGAGGCGGAAGGAAGCTGGAAGGAAGAGGGGCTTCTGGTCAGAGAGTGCAACACTCAGATCAGTGGCTTTGGAGGTAGAGCCTTTACTGCTGACTGCAGAGTCCAGAGTGTAAGTGTGGCAGGTGGGGGAGGATGCAGCACAGACAAAGGCCTCTGGGAATAAGACCAGGAGTGGGGGATGGGCAAGAGGAAGTTTGGCTGCAAGGGCAGAGGCCAGAGTGGTTTCTTCTGAAAGGTGAAGTGGTTGACTTTGATCTAAGGTGGGCAGTGGGGCCCACTCATAAACCTGGCAGTGGAGGGCAAGGAAAGAGGAACACCTGGGGAGTCAGACAGGAGAGACTGTGGGCCAGCGGTGCCCCACGGGGCGGGGGTGCGGAGGTCACAGTTCATTCCTCTGGGGAAGCAGAGGCCCGGAGAAGAGCCGACACTGGCTGAGGCCAACAGAGGTGGGCCAGGCAGGGAGCGGACTCACGGAGGCCTCCAGCGCAGCGGCGGGGACTGTGGGGACACCAGGACACCTGGCTCTGTGCAGCACACCTGAGAAAGCCTCTGAGGTGCACTGATGAGGAGAGACAGGCAGGAACAGGAGTTGGAGCAGGTGTGGGGCAAGCGATGGTAAAAACAAGAAAGGTGTGGGGGCATGGGGTGCAGAGAGGGGAGAAACGGACCTGCTGGGGAGTGAGGGAAGAGGGCCCTCTTGCTTCTCTGCTGCCCTGGGCCCGGGCCCCAGCCCAGGCCCGGAGCCACGTTCCCAGCCCCTCGAGGAGCCCATCCACCCTGGTACCTAAGACTCATTTTGCTGCCCACACTCACCAGGCCCAGGTGACCCAGAAACCAGTTCCGCCGTGGGGGCTCTGGGAAACATCGGAGGCGGCAGCAGGTGTCGTAGAATCTGTAGGACCAGGCCAGGGCGCGGGCCAGGAGCCAGGAGGCCGCCAGCAGCAGCAGGAGTAGCCACGGGGAGGCCACCAGGGGCCCCAGTCCCAGCCAGGGCAGGCTCAGCTGCAGCATCCTGCAGGGCGGACAGAGGGGGCGCTCCTGAGGCCGAGGGGGGCAGTACCAGGTGAGCTCAGGGCAGAGACCCGCTCACAGGCAGAGGCAGATGTGTGAGGGACAGGGACACAGAGGGGCAGGCGGGTGCTGGGCCAGGGCAGGGAGGGCTCGGAGATGGGAGAATGGGGCTCAGGAGGGAAGGGAGACCCAGGGAAGTGCAGGGGGAGAGGGAGAGGAAGAGAGAGAGAGAGGGAATGAAGGAAAAGGGAGAAAGACGGACAACTGAAGAACCGCTGAAAGGAATCAGCCTGTAACGGGCACAGCCAGGGCCCCCCCAAAGGGTATTTGTAACGGGGTCCATAGATTGGTGTGTCCAAGAAAAATATATATTCTCCCCACCCCAGGGCAGACCGCCATGGGGGATGGGAGCCTTGGGAGTGATTTTGTATGTCAGTAACTGGATAGCTTCATTCCTCATATGCAAAGGGGGTTATTTTGTATATCACCAAAGCTAATCAGAAAGGTTTCAAAGACTTTATACAGAAGGTAACTGGGAGAGAGAGAGAGAGAGAGAGAGAGAGGCCTGCAGGAGAGAGAAAGGGACACAGACTCTGGGGAACAGTGTGAAGACCACGCGGGAAGAAAGAGGGGAGCAAGGACTCTTGCTAGTGGGCCGGGAGAAGGTGCCACATGGTTATGGACTAAGAGCTGGAGATCCTGGCGACGCAGAGGATGGTGCTGAGACGCGTGAGAGGCCTGCCTGGCCGAGCCCCGGACTTCTGTTCTTTTTCTTCTGAAGGACGGTACCCTGACTGGCCTGACTGGCCTGACTGGGCAGAGGGGGGGAAGGCAGGACGGTGTGTGTGCTGGTGGTTGTTTTGAAGGGATTTTGAGGTTTAAGGGTGACATTTAGCCATTAATCAAACCTGTATAACTTTTGAATAAATAGTTTCTTTCCTTTTCACCGAACTCTCATTCAGAGCCGTAATTCCAACGGTGGAGGGCAAAGGACCCACAACCGAGGGGTCCCGGGGAAGGAGGGTGTTATTGTTTCGGTAACAGCATCTGGGCACCCCTCCCACGGGTCCTTTTGTCCGGTAACGAGCCAGTGGAAGGTAACCAGGGGCTCCTGTTACAAGGAAGTCCCCCTCCCCGCGGGGCCGGCTGGATCCCTGGAGCCACCCTGCCTTGGCCAGCACACCACCCCACCCCGGGCCATGGTCCTAAGCCCGGTAGCCTCAGCCTGGCACCTTCTCCCTGGAGTACCTTAGCCCAGTAGCCTCAGCCTGGCACCTTCTCCCTGGAGTACCTTAGCCCAGTAGCCTCAGCCTGGCACCTTCTGCCTGGAGCACTTTGTCCCGAGCAACCTCCTGGCCTTCCTCCTAGGGTCCTCGGTTCCTGGCTGCCCTCTTAACTGGAGGAGGCTGGGCTTGGAGGATTTTGAGCCAGCCAATCCCTGTACACCAGGATGCTTCCTCCCAGGTGGCAGTCACCCAAAGTTTGAAGCCAGAGCCTGCTGGGTCCCAAGAGGAACCCGTCAGCATCACATCGTGTGGGTGCTGCATCCTCAGGACTCAGAACCTCCCTTGTGGGATGAAGAGCAGGTTGGGGGGTAAGCAAAGGTGACTCTGGGCCCCCAAGTTTACTACCCTACCCTTCCAAGGCTAGGGCTGGACAGTTAAAAGCTTGAACTTGATCATAGAGTCCTGTCCCAAGTACCTCCCCAGAGTCTCCAGGGCACCACAGCCCTGCCTCCAGGGCCTGACCGTTGTGAATGGAAACAAAGAAACCAGCCTGGCAGGGCACCATCTCATCAGATGGCCTGGCCGCTGACACTTCTATTTGTTCATAAGACACACTGCATACTGTAAGGAAGTCCAGGCCACGTGGAAAGTCCTCACAAGTGTAAAACTCTGATCAACAGCCCCCGCTGATCTCCCTGCCAACAGCCAGTTATCAACTGCCAGCCACACGAGAGAGCCAGTTAGACCGTCTGGCCCAGCTGAGCCTCCAAATGGCCGTTTGATGTGCAGAATCAAAAGAGAAAACAAAATGGTCATTGTTTTAAGCCACTAAGTTTGAGGAGATCTTTGTTATGTGGTAATAGTTTGCTGATACACCTACTGCGTCTCTCAATCTCTCTCTATTTACTGGGTGATGACTGTTCACAAAAAATAGGCTGACTAGCATGAAATCTGCAGTGGGCAGACTTGTGAAGTGTGATGTGTCATAAAAAGAAGTCATTTGTCCCCTCTCCTTCCCAAGTAAGTAGAATAAATGAATATATATTTTTTCTCTTGAGAAAAATATATACCTTAAGGTAAGTCTGTATAAATCTTAAGATATGAATGTGTATATAAGATTTATGTCACATAGGTGATAATAGATAGATGATGAATACATAATGGATGAATGGATAAATAGATGATTACTAGATAGATGCTATTAGTTCTGTTTCTCTGAAGAACACTAACTAATTCACAGGTGAATCTAATTCCTCTCTCTGTGAACCTGAGTTATCCTCAGTGTCTTCTGGGACCTGGAGTCTAGATCATGGGAAGACTTGCAGCTTCCTTCCAGGACCCTTGGACAAAGCTGCCATGAGACGAGAAAGCCCCAGCAACCCCACAGAGAGGCCCGGCATTGTCAGGAACTGAGGACCTCAGCCAACAGCTGACACCAAACAGCCAGTCATGAGGCTGAGTTCTTCTGGAAGTGGATCTACTGGCTTCAGGCAAGCCTCCCAGCTGAGGCCATATAGAATAGAGAAAGCCAACCCAACTGAGACCTGCCAAATCGCAAACGGATGAGCAAACTAAAGTTTGTCAGTTGAACCTAATAAACTTCCAGGAAGTTCATTATACAGTAATAGTCTAACTGGAACAGATCGTATTTTTCAATCTCTTTGGAATCCTCAAAAAATGATTACATATGGAAGCATTTGAGATCTTGCTCACTGGCATATGTCATCAGTTTGGCTCAAATAAATTCTTATAAAAAATTCTCTTGCCCTGACCAGTTTGGCTCAGTTGGTTGGGTGTCATCCCACAAAGTGAAGGGTACCTGTTCCATTCCTGGTCAAGGCAACATGCCTGGGTTGTAGGTTTGGTCCCCGGACAGGGTGTGTATGAGAGGCAACTGATGGATGTCTCTCTCCCTCTCTTTCTCCTATCTTCTTCTCTCTAAAAATAAATAAATAAAATCTTTTTAAAAATTCTCTTTAAAAAGTGGTTATGTGTGCATAAATGTATGTGTGTGTGTATAGATATATATATGAAAATGCTCATATATGCAATTTTTAAAAACTAAAAAAACAAAATCTAAATAAACTCCTGGGCTGGGGTGAAGAGCAGAAGTAGGATTTCCCTTTAAAATTTTTACTTTTGCAACTTTTTCCCATCAAGCCCATGCGATATTTGGAGACAGGAGATAAATAAAGTGCTTATAACAACATTCCCTTGACACACGGCCAGCACCAAGCATGTGTTTGCCATTATTTCTCTTATTTCATGACAGAATGAAGACACAGAAACCAGCCGTGACTGAGTCTTACATCCTCTGCTACACACAGCGTGGACATTACTAGCGGTGGAGGACCCCACCCCTCCGCCCTTTGCAAAGAAGAGGGCTCCCAGGAGGGGAGCAAGTACTGGACTTGGGGTCAGATGGCCCAGGGTCAAAGCCCAGCTTTGCCGCTCTCCAGCTGTGGACCTTGGGCAAGTGACTTGCCCTCTCTGACGCTCTCGTTCCTCCTCAGTAAAAAGGGCGAACTTACCGGCCTGCGGGGGTCGAAGGTTGGGTATAACAACAGGCCTGCGTACGTATGTGAGTTTGCATTCCCTGAACGTAGGCTGTGATACAAGGACTCAGATGCAAATACTTTATTCTGAACCAAAAATTCAACTGCAAGTTGTTGCTTTGGGAGGTGATCCCAAGTAATACCAGTAGGGCAGTGGGGTAGTGAGACAGGGAAGGGAAGGCAGCGGGGAAAACCTGCCTCGGAAAGGAAAGGAAGTTCCCGTCGCGGGCACCTGGGGCTCGCTCCCTCTGGGGACTTTTGGGAGAGAGCGGAGAACGAGCACCCAGCTGTCACTAGTCAGGGCTGCTTGTGAGCCCATTACTTCTCCTGAATGTCCTGCTTGCTGCAAGGCAGGGTGGGGATCTGGGCAGGGACTCCTGGCTTGAGCAGGAGCACAGCCTGACGTGGACAGTTACAGTCGTTCAATGAGTGGGGTTCTCCCCTCCCTGCTCTCTCTCCAATACACCCAGTCACTCAGTCTGTCTCTGTCTCTCTGTCTCTCTGTCTCTCTCTGTCTCTGTCTCTCTCTCTGTCTCTGTCTCTGTCTCTCTCTCTCTCTCCCCGCCCCCCACCAAACTCCTTAGAGCCTGTCGCTCCAGAACCTCCCAGCAGAGGGAGCCTCTGACACGCTCAGTAGGGAAACGAGGCCCCACAGCCGTCTGAGACAGCACCAGGTGTATTTTAAGAATCACAAGCAGGTGGAGCCCAGTCCTGGCCCCAAGGGACCTCAGGCCTCCTCTCCTGCCCCACGCATTCACCAAGATCCTAAGCAGAAAGTCGACGTGCATTACAGGCATGATGATCCTGTAAAATCAACAGGAGACCCGAAGTGCAGAAAGGGGCAGTCCTGTGCTAAGGCCACCGCAACGAAGCGGAACCCATGTATGTCTACTCCCAAGGTCAAGATATTTTTGCACCGAGGCGTTGGTCGGGGGCGGAGGGATGGGGTTGAGGGAAGCTGGTGCAGTGTTTGGAGAATGATGAGGGTTTGGAGAACCTCCGTCGGGTCAGGAGTGTTTGACAGGCAGCGTCAGCAAGAGCGGGTGATTCTTTCATGGCCCGGGACCACATGTTTTCGATCACTCTCAGAAGTAGCCTTGGACAGGGCATTCCGACAGACCATCCCAGTACATGCCACCCGAGGGCGCCCCAGGACCAACAGCCCAGCTTTGACGCATCTCCAAGTCCACCCCCCCCCCCCCCCCCGCGCCACGCCCTA